TTATGCGTAATGGTGACTTCGCGCCTTTTGCCTTTGATCGCGCGAGGAACTTTAAGTCTGCCACTCGGGTTAAGCTTTTTGGTGTACATTACTTTTATATAATACTATTCTTATTTTATTTTAAAAAGAAAGAAAACGCGATTAACGTTAAACCCACTACAAAAAAATAGGTCTTTGTATTTTTCACTTTTGGAATTATCTCACATATGAACAATTTCAGCATGCATGTCGTCGATCTTTAGCTGAGTTTCTACCTGTTCGGTTTGAATCTCGATTAATTTGTTATTAATCTCCGACAATTGATCTTTATTTTCGCTATTCAATTAATTTACCCTTATTTTAAAAATGGCTAGTGCTTTAATGATGGTTGGAGGAGCGATAGTAAACGCCTTGGCATTGACGGGCTCAATTTTTTTTTTTCAGCAGTTTATCAAAAAATAATGTTGATGAAGAACAAAAGCGACACGACCTCGCGTTAGAACAACTGTCGCAAGCGAAGGAATCCTGGGAACAAAACCGCCTACACATGCTAGACTTTTTAAACGAACGAATGCGACAAGAACGTGCGAGTCAGCAAACATTTGTAAACGTAGACGAAGCCTTACGAGCTTATTCGGAATTGACCGGTAAGAGTATCACGCCGTTACCGCCAGAGCCTAATTTGACCGATTTTTACGAGCCTTCCGAAGATCAAAAAAATCGCGAGTTTGTTTGGATTATATCCGGGACGGCCTTGGTGGGGTTGTTAGCTTATCGATTTGCGTAACTTATTTTAAAATGGAGAGAGAATTTAAAAAACTATTTTACAGCCCACAGGGTTACTGGCGAGGAGAAAGCGCGGTGGGTCGTCTACACGAAAAGACCTTTGCGGACAAATCGGTCGTCAGAAACTGGCTAAAAAAGCAGGCCATTTGGCAAATATATTTACTCGCACCACATTACGTACCCAGACCTACAACGTTGCAATCAGAATCGGTCAAACCTAATAACGTGCATCAAATGGACGTACTTAATGTACCCTGGGACCGAGTTAAAAGAAAAACGTTTAAATACGCTTTGACCGTGGTAGATGTGGGTTCGCGGTATAAAGAGGCAGAACCGTTGACCAGTAAAACAGCCGAGCAAGTGAGTGAAGCGACCAAGAAAATTTACGAGCGATCACCTCTGACCTGGCCCAAATTCGTAAAGGTAGACTCGGGATCTGAATTTAAAGGCGAGTTTAAAAAGTTAATGACAAAAATAAAGTACAAATTCAAGTGGGTGAGCCTGGGGTACATAGATCTCAAGGAATCGTGGAAAGGTTTAACCGCCCCTTAGCCGAGCGTTTATTCGGCCACCAATACGCTCAAGAAATGATAAACGTGGGTGAGCGAAACGTGGAATGGGTAGAACGTTTGCCCCAGGTCGTGAAATCGTTAAACGAGGAAAAAACGCGTTTAATAGATGCCGTTCCTGCAGAAGCTATAAAATTAGCGAGCGAAGTGAAACAAGCACCGAGTGCACCTGTAAGAACCACCCAAAGAGAACTTCCTCCAGATGCGGTCGTCAGGTATTTATATTACCCGGGCGAGCAAGAGGGCGGCACCGTCAGAAGGGTGACGGATCCGATCTGGTCAGTGGACGTTTACCAAATTGAAAAGCGCACCAGTCAATTTAAACGAGTGAAAGGCAAGAGGGTCAAAACGGATCCCACTTTGTACTATTTATTAAACAGACCAAATAGGAGTTTCGTCAAAGAGGAACTTCAGGTCGTGCCCGAGGATACCGAATTAGCTTGTGCCCGTAAGCCAACGTATCGATTCCATTCGGTAATATGTAGCGCTTTGTGTCCAACGG